AAGACTTTTGTTTCTAAAAAAACATAACTATTGAACAGTTCCAATTTAAATGTAACTGCTTGTTGAATTTGAGTTAAACTTAAAGCTTGTTACCTAACAGTTGGTCATTGCCTACATTTGTAGTGACAAAAATGTAAATTAGATATGCAAGATTTTATCCATCTACAAAATCATTAAACGGTCTGCAAAAAGTATGTTAACTTCAGCTCAAAATACAAAAAATATAAATCATTAAGTCTAAAAAAAACCTTTAATTTAGAAAGTATTCAATACAAACAATATCAAGTTAAAAATCAATTTTTTTATTATTCTGTCTCTGTTCAAAGTAGTACACTGCAAACCTGAAACAAACATTGAATCTAGAGTTAAGTTTTTTTGTTTACAATATTTTGTGACAATCAAACAAGGTTCAGTTGACCTTTGTTAATTACATTCAAAGATGCATCTCCTCAGGAAATATACAACATCGCAATATGACACAATTTGAAAACACCATATCAACTTCCTCCCTGGGAAATATTTTCTGAAATGTTTACAAAAAGGTTTAATAAAAAATGATTCATTTTATTTAATCTTGTGAAGAGGTGACCAAGGCAGCTAAGTTTTGCACAAGATAACAATATGTATATGGTAAGGTGCCTTGACATACTCAGTTGGTGTTGCCAAAATATTACGAATTAAAATCTACTGTGGTAAACACAATCCAATAAATGCATAAATGTATCATATATTCAAGTTCATTATTTGCACAAGATTTATGGTAGAATGCATAATCTGTTACAGTACTGCAGACATGATGGTTATTATCAGGCATGTTACTGGCGGGGAGGGGGGGCAGTGTAATAAATTTGTCAAAAAGGAGTAGGTGGACTTAGAGAAAAAGATATCTTTAACAAATATTGGTGACATGGTTTTGTTGTCAAACATGATCCTATCATTATATATATATATATATATATATATATATATATATATATATATATATATATATATATATATATATATATATATATATATATATATATACTGAATGATGTACTACTACCATTTTAACCAGGGTTTTTATGCTGTTGATGAACTACACTGACATGACTTGTAAACAAATTTTCCAACAATGACAAAATGAGTGCTGTACATTGCTCATTTGGTGAAGTCTTAATTGTATTTGTAGAAACGTTTTTTAATAAAGTGAACATTTAACAGTGTCATTCCAACAAGTTGCTCTGCTGTATCTTCCAGCTCAACAGTGACAGATGTTTCTACATAATTATTTGAAATTAAAGTGTTTTAAGGACAAAGTGTATTTGATATGCAACCAAAAATGTTGCCATTGATCAATACTGTTGTTGTGTACATTCATCATGGACACAGTGAAATTATCTTTCTTTCCAATCAAATCCCAAATGCCGGTAATAAAGAAAAGAAGGATAATGACAGCTTTTTACTAAACCATGGCAGGAAGGTAGAGTGCTGAAAAGGTGCATGTGCTTTGCTTTATTAGTTTCTTTTTATAATTCATGTTTCTAACTTGTAAATATAATAAGAAATACTTGCACAATTTTTATAATTATCCTATTTTCTAATTTTATATTCTTAAAATGTTTCTAAAATTTAACTTTATGACAATGTTCCCATGTTTTTATGATGCCAGTTGCTGCATGTATTGAAGAAATAGATGCTCGTATATTGCTCTGTACTTGCTTATTAAGGCATAGTTTTGAATGGCATAGAGAAGACATTAGATGAGAGAATGTCTTATTATGGGAAACTTTAGTGTAATGGTTTCTATTTATAATAAATATGACATTTATCATGGATCCATGTACTTCAGAATCACATGGAGTCCATTAAGCTCACTTTTAACATTTGAAAGATATATCTAGATGCTAGATGACCAATATTTCTTTTATAGACACTGCAGCTGGCTGATTTGCACATGGCATTGTTAACGTTACTGTTTTCCTTCAAGTGTTTGCATATATAACAAAGTTTTATGTACATTTTCATTATTTCTCTACACCTGGTAAAGCATGGCATGAAAGAGATATTTTGATATGAACTTGTTACATATCACTTCCCAATTTGTGACAAAGACATTTATAGACCTTTATAAAATAGTGCATCAAACTGCATAATATATGAAACAGTGAAAATATTCTTAATGTTTCATAATAAGTAATAAATTAATTCATAAAAGCATGTACTGGTAATATCAATGAAATCAATATACAGATATTTAGTTATGAACTGTATAGTCTGGATGATGAATGATAAAGAAGTTCTGACTTACATCTGTGATAGACTAATTAGCTAATTAACAAGTTATGGTAAATTGGTGATATAATGGCAAGCATTTGGAGGAACACAGGGAGTACATTAGTCATTATTTTTTGTGTAAATATGTTGTGTATTATATCTATCTATCAGTGTATTCATTTAATTGCATTTTGTTTTCCAGTGGTTGTTGTTACATCTCTTGACAATGTAAAACAGTAAATCAAATCAGATGATGTCAGGACAAATTAATAATTTAAAAGTTATGGCAGTTAGAGTAAACTCTGAAATTACATTAAGTACAATATTTGTATTTTATAAGTCATTGTGAAAATGATCTCCCTTACACCAAGAATGATACAAAGAAGAATAAAAAATAGTTGAAAAAATGGTACATGAAAGAATCAATTTGCAGAATATTAAAATGAAGAGATTTTGACAGAATTCAATGTTTTTTTAATCAGACCATAATTTGCCATTGGAATATTTTGTGTTGTTTATTTGTAGTGATTATATTGTTTTTACTATTGATCAGTTTGCAAACAATTTGGAAAAGTATACTTTTGTTAAAAAATTTACTCAAAATCTGAATGTTATCATTAGTTCAACTATATTTAGATACACCAGGATGGTGGGTGGACATAGCTTCGATTTTAATGGTACAGTCAGTACTAAAAAATAAAAAAAAAATTTACAGAACAATCCTAAAAACTAAGTTCAGATGCCTCTTGGCCAAAGAATCCCTGAGCAAATAAATTCTCCATTTTCATCACACTCAGTAAACAGGTGATTATCCTGTTACAAGAGTTATGGTTCTTGTGAAAATTTTAAGGATGTTTCCTCAAGTTTGACAAAACATAACATATTCCTTTCTCTCTAGTCAGATAAGTAAAAATATAATTTCAAAGGCTCATTATCATCAGACATTGATCATGTTAAAAAATATTGGACAACTGAAAAGTGATTTTTGATATTTGAACATGAAATTGTAGTCAAAAGAGCAAATGTAATGTTTTGCAATGAGAGATACAGCTGATTATGAATTTGTAGACAGATGATTATTGGAAGAGAAGATAATGCTCCCTTTAATGTATGTTTCTGGAAACCAAAAGAAAGTAATAATTAAAAAAGAAAATTCTATTTTAATGACCATTTGTGAAATACATTGCAGTATAAAATATGTAGCAGATTAAACATGCAAATTTCAAGAATATGCCCTTTAAATTAAATAAAATTAAAATGGTCAAAAATTTTTCATAAATTTGCAAATCTTTCCTTCAGATCATGACAAATGTTTTGGAAGACAAAACCAATCAATATTTTTAAAATCATAAATTTTCAAGGAGAAAAATTAATAATACATGGCATCAAGACAATTTCTTGTAAATATTTTTGTGTTGGTGTTACAGCTGTAGTACCATATTCATAGACAATAAACATAACATCAGAAGAAAAGAGATTTTTCTAGGCATTTTTGACAACCCCACATGAATGCTGTTGACAGGTCATCAGAATTGTCCACCTACTTAAACAGTAAAATAGAATTACAACACTATTTTGTTACATTTTTTACATGAAAACTGAGCTTTGTACCCATTATAGAAGAAAATTGTATAATAGTAAAATTATCAGTACACATAATCTTAAAATTGAAAATTCAGTGAAAAATATTTGATTCTGTAAAAACTGAAATTTTTGAATATCTAAATATGCACCTTGTGAATGTCTGCTCTTTTTATGCAAAGCATTTTATTGTATTATTTTCTTATTTTGCTTTCATATACTCGAATGCCCTAAATAAAATTTTGAAAATTGTTGTTTGTACATTTCCTTTTTTAATGATAAGAAAATTCTCTCTCTCTCTCTCTCTCTCTCTCTCTCTCTCTCTCTCTCTCTCTCTCTCTCTCTCTCTCTCTCTCTCTCTCTCTCTCTCTCTCTCTCTCTCTCTCTCTCTCTCTCTCTCTCTCTCTCTCTCTCTCTCTCTCTCTCTCTCTCTCTCTCTCTCTCTCTCTCTCTCTCTCTCAAGATTGCTAAAAATCACGATTATCGAAACATGACGACTTTGGAAGTTCAGTGTCGTGATTTTCCCGTGAGACCTTGTGCTGTAGTAAGGTATGCCATACGATAAATCAACATGGTGAATATACAATATTAAAATACAGTTGAATTCTTGCACCTAATGCACAGAAACTGACATACATTTTCTATCCTGGGTGAGAAAGCAGGCACATCCAATATTCCGTCAATTATGGGTCATATTTCAGATTATTTGTTCCGAAACACTGACGATATCTATGACAACAATTATTGCAACATCCTCCAGAGTATGATGCCCGATGGACACATCTTTAGCGTATGATGCCCGATGGACCGTATTTAGCGTATGATGTCCAATGAGCACCATTAAAAAGCTGCAACATATACTGATATTATGGATACAACTCACATCAAATTAGGACATGCGTCATGACGCGCGCGTGTGTGTGTGTGCGTGCGTGATTTGGATTTTTAATGTAGCTATAACAACTGTTATGTTATACCTCTACGATTTCTGCAATGCGTTTTATAGTGATGTCTAGCACTGGGGCATAATGCTGCAGACATGTAGCACAATGTCCTACCCAGTCACATTATCCTGACACCAGGCCGACCAATCCTAACACTAACCTCTTAATGCTGAGTGCCTAGTGAGGCAGTTGATAGTACCATTTTATAAGTCTTAGGTATGACTCGGCTGGGGTTCGAACCCACAACCTCCCGCATCAGAGGAGGATGCTCAAACCACTAGGCCAGCGTCGAGAGTAATTCTACATAATAGTAATTAAGTATACATACTACAAGTAATTACAATTGCGATGCAGTAATATTCTGCAAAACTCGAGGAAATAGATTACTGACCTTTTCGAAGATTTGTCTTTCATTTGAATTTCTTCTACGTTTTACCGCCAAAGTACGAGTGGCACATCTCAGAGTAACCTTATTGTTCAGCAATTTTTCCAGGCGAAACTATTTTTTTTTTTTCTCAGTTTTGAAAGTTATAATTCGGATCTAAATTGTAATCGCAATGTAACATTGCGTAAGAGTTTAACACTAGCCTGCATAAATCTTTAATTATCAAACACATGGCCGCGATAATATTCTCTATACATGTAGATTATAGCTTGCTTATACATAACTTTATAGCTGGGGCTTAGCAAATTTGGCACTTCTCTTACTTCTCAATAGAAGATACAAACGTGTCAACATGGATACACATCATGAAATTGAAAATAAATTTTAAAAAACCGCTTTATAATAAATTGTAATCCACATAATATTATTTAGCAGTATGTTTTATTCGAATCAAAAGGAAGTACGATTACCCCGGGGTCTGAATAGGACATAATTATCTTTACAAGCCCCTATTTCTGAATTGTATAAGATATCTCCCTTTGAAGAAAGTAACTGCCGGCCCATTGTATCTTACTACACAGTATCTAGCGAAACAAACATCTTGTTTCTAAACTGACGTTTATATCAAAAGAAACAATCATCAGTATATATTTTATTTTTTATAAAGGGAACAAAATTATGTACTATTTGTATCATAATTATTATCAACTTAAAAGAAGATTTTGTAAATTTTCATAACATAATAATATGAAAAATACCTACAATTAGCAAGGTGGTTCCTTGACAGCCACGGGAAACAACCTATAGGTGACCCAGACCTGACTCATATCAGAGTGATAACATAATAATCTTGTCTGAGGGGTACTAGAGTTCACAAATGCCTTTGAGTACAATAACTTAAAGTGGGATTGACCAAACAAAGAAAATAGTGCTGTGTCTGTCGGCTGCATACTAATACATTGTTAGACATGCCATTTAGGCCAAAAAACTTAAAGTGAGCTTAACCGGGATACCCTGAAATATTGTTTTATATCTCTAATTTATACCAGTAAGTAGTAAAACGTGTGCTAGAGTGCTTTATAATGTTTGCTTTGGATTATGTGATAAAGTTATAAAGACCTCCATGTAGAGATAAGTTAAAAATAAATATTTTAAAAAGGGCACAACTATGTAGAATCATGACATCTATCTATCGGTAAGGTTAAATATGAAACTATAAAAATTGGTTTACCTGTCTAATAAGCCACAATGTGATGTTGTTTTTTTTTAAAAAAATTCACTTTGTGAACTATAAATATATTTACCTGGGAGACAAACATTTAAATGTATGTTTGGGAAAAATTAAACAATGAGTAAAATATATTTAATGGTTACTTTGTGTCCACTTGCAAAATATAATGAATGTGAACTATAAAACTGTCGAATCAAGTTCTACATTTCTCTAATAAAAAAGAAAGCTAAAATGAAAAGATGTAAACAGGCATATCGACATAAATTTACGTGACACCAAAATATATACAGGTATGTTTAGTAAATAACACAGATATATGTTTGATAGCAGCAACTGCCGATGTAAAAAAAGATATTTTGAACTATCAAGGCCAATAATTAAGTCAAATGTTGAAGGTAGGGGTGAATGACAAAAGTTTACATTTCATTTTCTGAAAATAGTGAGGCTATTCATCAACGGTGTGGACCTTTGATAAATTGCACTACCATAAATTTAAAACAACATTGCAATTCTGATGCGTATTTGCAGTACAGATGATCCTCTTTGTCATAAATTTGCTGCTGTCATATGTTGCCAATAATGTCTTTGAAACAATGAACATAATTCTGTGTTACATATTCTAAATGTTTGAATGGCATTGAAAAGGACTACAAATATAATGAGCATCATGACCATTATAATTTGGTTTCGTTTGATGTTTTACCAGCATGCTCTTTATTGCTAAGGCAGTTTGAGTAAAGTGTCATGTCCAAGGATACGCCATCACAGCAGACCCTTGCTGATCCAGTGCTAGGCTTTGAACCCACTCCCTTTCGGTCAAGAGTCTGGCACACTAACCACCAAGTCACTTCACCTTCTGCCTCAATCAGTCGCCTATGCGACATGCGTGAGGGTGCATTAGGGGGATTAATTTGGTATAATAAAAAAATAGATTTATTTTTAATTCATTTCTGCAACACTAGTTGTTAACAAATTAGTTTCAAAAATGGAATTAAAATATGCAAAGTATTGGAAAAATTGTGATCCTCTTACTAGTTCATGATGGATGGGTAGGTGGGCAGCAAATAGGAAATTTCTACTATGGAAACGGTGTCATTATATATATATATATATATATATATATATATATATATATATATATATATATATATATATATATATATATATATATATATATATATATCCCTCGATATTTACATGTAAATGCTCTGCGAAATAATTATTAATATCTGTTTCATAAGAAAAAGCTTTCTCTTTTTCTTTCCTTTTCATTTGATTGTCCATATCAAAAAGAATTTTTGTTCCTAAATAATTAAACCCAAAACAATTTACATAATTGAAACATTAATAGATAACAAACATGATGCAAAAACAGAAATGCATCATACAGCACTTACTCAGGAACATAATTGCAACATACAATAACCTTGAAACGATAATCTAATAAATGTGTTTGTTCTACGTCATCTGAAAGAACTTAATTCATACAGGGCAGCTCGACACTATAGTTTGTTATGTACAATGTCGAAATCATCAATCTCAAGGATTATTTTCCTTTTTATCGACAGTTTTGATGGAATTTAAAGCAATTTTTTAAAAAAAATGTAGATTGAATTTTAGAGTTAAGTTGTAAACAATAATGTCTCCCTAGATGGCCTTGACTGCTGACTGTTTCATTTAGAAATCGCTATATACACTCAGGTACTAGCTGGATATAGTTCATTTTGCCATTAAGGTGTTATTGTGCGACAATATTTACAACTGAACAAAGCAAGCAACTCAGCTATGTCATAAGTTTGATCTTTTCACCCTACTGCACTTATTACAGTTCAACACAACCGAGAGAATGGATTACTCATGTTCATGTTTGAGAGAAAGTGTGTGTGTGTGTGTGTGTGTGTGTGTGTGTGTGTGTGTGTGTGTGTGTGAATTCTTTCGGTCAATTATTAGACTGTTATAATGCACGAGCAGAGATTATGTGCATCTACATTTTTTTTACAAACAGAAGAATTTCACTCCAGTCCAAAACAACTTAGGCCCAGAGTAATTTTTTTCTCATTAGTACAGTGGAAAAAAGGGCACAGCATCCATTGAAGAAGACTATGAAAGCTGGTACATTTTATGCCGAGTCCTTTTAATAGCTTTTTATGTCGAAACTAGTAGGGCATGGTTGATTCTAGATATTATTATTATTGACCAATCGATTTACATTTGTTCGAAGCATGCACTCTTGAACTAAGATTACTGTACTAAAACCATTATTCTCTTGAATTTTTAAATTGACTATAACCTATGATCTTTAGTCCCTACTGCGGTCTTTAGGTTTATTACCCTAACATTGACCTTGATTTTTGGAAGCTTCGTTGTCACAATGTGTTGACATGTATCTACAAGCTTTCGGAGCCCGCAAATGTGACCCACACTGTAGCAGTATGGTCCGACCTGGAATTAATGGGTACAGTATGGCAGTTGTTTGCTAAGTAAAACGTGCAAATGATCCGGGCGAGCCCGGCATCCACCATGAGGAGGGCTATTGAGAAGACGTTCAACCTTACTTGTGAATCAAAATTGGGTTTGTCGCTCATGAATCTCCTCCAAATACAGTTATTGGTAGAAATGATTTCAGAACTTTTTCTGGACATTTTCCGGATTGATTTGTAATTTTCCAGTCTGATTGGTGCCTGTATTCGAAGTGTGTGTCAATATAAATGGGTATGTGGTATCCGCACGATCTAAACTAGCATCTACAAAACAAGTGTGTTTGATAGTTTATACGTGTTTTGCTAGGCACAGTGAACCTGTATACAGATGCTGCTGCCCTATCCAACTCTGCGAATATGCACATGGAAGCAACACATGAATGTATTTAGCAACAACAAAAGTAAAACATAACAGCCTGAAATTATTTATTTTTTCCTTACCTTTATTGCAAATCTTTGTTTTTACATACTTTTTTCCAGATCTGTAAAAAAATCTTTCTTTTTCCAGATTTTCTATACTTTGCATGGACACTAGATTACTCAATGTCTTCTTTCAGAAATATAGCCCATCGGTGAATCAGCTGAGACGATGGTGATCTTACTAACAAAGCTTGATTAGCTCAGTGTTCCTCCAGATAAAACTGACAATTGGTAGTCTCAACATCTAGATCCGGCCATAGACGTTTTTGTGACAGTAATGGTTATCCATCTGTCTGGCTTTCCACTGTCATATTCTCACACATATTAAGAGTTATTAATATAAATAATTCTCATAGTAACACATATGGGTATGTATACCACATTCCAAAATATGATCTGACTCTTTATTGGTACATAAGGTAATTCAGTAGGTGAACCATATATGCTATTGGTTGCTTGTATTTTGGAATGACGCATAATAAATACTCAAAGCGAATAAGTAGCAAGTCCCGTATGAAAGCTACTACCTTTATAATTAAAGTCCTGATTATTTCAAAAGATTTTTGCATATAGACGTTTTTATAGATATTTAGCAGAATGCACCTGGCAGGTTAGTGTGACTTTTAGTTTTGTTTGTATCAGTATGTAATTTGTGAATTTCGCTTTTTTTCAGAATCGTGTACAATCATTTATTGTTTAATTGTGAACATGTGTATCTCTGTCATTAAAAGATTTATGTTTCTTACTATTGTTCTTGATAAATTTTAATCCAGA